CAGCAGGAAGCAGCAACTTCCCTCACTCCATTTGCCAGTGGTTCCTTTGCTAGACAATCAGAAATAAAATCTGTCACACACACACATGCTGGTTTCCTTTCATCCTTTGTAATTTTTTTTTATTTTTATTATTATTATTCTCCTCCTTTTAAGCATCCCTTTAAGGGTGAAATGAAATCCAACCATTTACAGAGAAAATGATTTCAGAATGTACATTTGATTTATCCTTACAAAAAATTCATTATTACTTGCTGTTTATAAATTACAGAGTTGAAAGGAGCTTTGCAGCCACTTTCTTTCTTTTTTTTTTCCCTTTTCTTTTTTTTTTTTTTTTTTGGCAAGTCCACGCATTCTTTTGCCAAAACAGGGTGTTTTGGGGTCACCCCAGGAGCAACACTACTAGCGAGACCAGGCGGACCCTAGTCTAGGAAGTGCTTCTGGACCACCCCCAGGATGATACTGCATCATCATCCTCACAGGAAGAAAACAGTGGTTTGAATGCTTAGTTTCAGAGTATTTCAGATCCCTTCTTAAGCCATTATGTGTAGTCCCCAAAGCCTTAACTGTCAGTGTATTGCATTAGAAACACCTCTCCCTTCTCGATGCTGGATCTGAGCCCCTCCTGCCACCCTCTTACCTCCACCTCCCCCTTGGTTTCCATATTAAGAGGGTCTGGAGGTGTGGGGGATGGAGGGATTCAGGACCCAGTCTCCCAGTCTCTTCCCTCCTTTCTCACCAAGGTTTGAGGTCCATGAAGCCAGAATGAGCCTTTCCTTCTCTCTTAACCACCAGTGCTCACTAACAAGACCAGGGCTGACCCTGGACTAGTGTCTTCACAGTGCAGAGGCATAGCAGCCACAGAGATTGCTGGCAGGAGCAGGGAAATGAGGACACAGCCTGGGGTGGTTTTGGGAGGGGAAAAGACAATATTATCCCACAAGGACACACCGAAAGAGAATAACCAGGAAAAAATTGATACCTGTTCTGTTCTGACCCTCTTTCCCCTCCAAATCATGCGTCACCTGGAGGCCGCAAGGTCCCCTTCGTTTACTCACCACAGAGGCACAACGAACGGGACAGTCTGAGCTGCACGACACAAAGCACCTCAGCAGGACACAGGAATCAGAGAAAGCAACAGCAAGAGTGGACTTGAGCATGTTGTCCTTCGTACCAACCACACAGGCACAAAGCCACCTCCTCTTTTCTGTCCAGCACGTTTTGGGCACCACATTACCCCCAGTCCCCTGGAGAGACAAAGGCAGAGAACCTCCCTCTCCCCCCCTGCTTTAGCAAACTCACCCGCTGCAGGTCCACCAATGCAGGTCCCATATCCTGCCCATGCACAGACATACAACCCTTCTTGGTGGAGAGGAAAGGAAGAGCCTCAGCAGCTGGAAAGGCAGGTGAGATGAGGCAGGCAGAGCAACAGAAGAGCGTGCAGTGCAGGGATGCCATATGCTGCTGCTCCTGCTCTCCAGCCCTCCCTTGCACCACTTAATTTGAAGGTGAAAAGATTCCTGGGTACAAACAGCACAGAGCTGTCAAGCTGAACAGGACTGCAGGGAAAGGCTGACAGCCCTCTGCTAACACCAGCCTGCCCACCCCTCCACTGGATGCCTCGCTCTAGGAGAGGCAGCCAGCGCTTGGCTGAGCAGCTTGTAGCTGAAAAACCCAACCCGCGGCAGGCTCTTGAGATCTGATCCCAGGCCCATCCTGGAGGCAGGTACAGGCTTTTTATTCCTTCCCTTCTCAAACCTCAGTGCCTGGTTCAGACATGATCAAAGGGCCTCAACGCTCACGCCAAAAGAGTTCGGCACAGGGAAATGAGGATCAGGGTCCGATACAAACCTGCCTCCCTCCTTTGCATCTCTCACCACCCCATGCACCCACCCGCTCTGGATTCCCTCCTGTGGAGGATGATTCTGACTTTGCTGCCTCCCCTCTGAGCACAGACCATCGAGGTCCTTGGCTAAGCAGTGCATACAAAGGCTGGACAGAGGGCAAGCCACCACCTTGGGAAATCAATGTGCAAAAGTCAGCTTGCACGTCTTCACCCTCCAAGGGACAAGAAAGATTTTTAATGACAAGTACTCTAATTCCCTAAGGAAAATAAACATAGGGTTAGCCAGACAAATTAGACAACAGAAACCGACTGGTTTGGCCTTAACCAAAGGATGTTTAAATGATTCTTGAGGGAAAAAAAAAAAAAAAGTACTTCATCTGTAAAGTCCCTTCCCTCTCCCACAACAGAAGCCTGTTTTAAATTTAATTTCCTAAGAATAAGAAAGTGGGAAAGTCCAGGAGGGACACAGTGCCAGGCAGTCATGTAGAAGACTCCTGGCTCTGTTCTTACCCAGCTCCAGTGGGACCTTTTCTTCTTGCCCAGGTGGGTAGGAGAAGGGAGAAGGAACTCAGAGGGGGAAGAAGAGAACTATGGAACAAATAAGGGAGGAGTCTGTGCAGGAGATCCAGATATTGCAGCTGTGGGCTCAACTGAAACTCCTAAGAGGCAAGGGCCATAGCCCAGCAACGAAAATATGACTTGTAGCATGCTAAAAATCCCCACGGAAGCTCATGCATGGGAAGGGGAAGAAGAGCCACAGAAGAGCCACAGCTTCTCTTTGGGGAAAGAGCGTTCTGGCTATAGGACCCTCTGCTCACTTCCCAAAGGGGCTTTTCTGCCTGTGGAGGGCATGCAGCAGAAGTGAGAACAGTGATTTAAAAAAAAAAAAAAAAAGGAAAGAAAAAGGGTCCTTTAGTTCTTTTAATCAGCTGTCATTGCACGTGAGATGTGGAAGGTGCTAAAACAAACTCGATCGCAGTTTGAACAACAACAAAGGTGTTCATCTTGATTCTGTACCTCTAGTTCCTGACTCGGTCTTATTAGGGAACCAAGTTATTTTTGTTGTTGTTTTTCAATTCTCTGGAGAGGGGAATAGGAAGGACAGAGAGAGAGATACAGAAATGGGAATGAGGCATGAGGGAGAGAATGCGCTGGACAACAGAAGAATATGGAGCCCTGATGGCGTGAGTTAACAGCAATGGAAACCCTCCTGCTTCAGCACAGCTGGCCTGATGTCTGGGTTGCTCTTCCTTATGGCCAATATTTTCCTCCTCCTCCTCTGCATGATCCTCACGTCTCTGTTTGGAACATGACCCAGTCTTTCCACTGTAAAGCTAACAGAGCAAGCTCACCATGTTTTTCATGCTCTGCCCGCTACAGTCTGGCCTCCAGGCACCCTGTCAAGCCATTTGCTTGCTAAGGAAGAGAGGTAAGGGTGGAAGCAGAGAGCTGCCTCCTCAATGAACTGATTAAATCTGAGACACGGACAAGCCAGATCCTGACTATCCATTGCTGGTGAATTCTGAGTAGACACTCACCAACCAGCTGCAACTAGTTTCATCCCTGTTTCCCTCTCCTCTGCATGATCTCATCTGCATGGCCCAGGCTGCAAGTGTGGGCTGCACATCCTCTCTGGATTGCCTGGTCATCTTAAAACAGCCTCTTGGTCCCAGGGGAATCCTGCTTATGGGCCCTTTCTCCATGAGCTCCCTCACATCCCAAGAGCAGACAGATGGGTCCTACACCTTGGCATGTTTTGTGTCTCCCCACAACACCCATTGGCTGACTCGAGGCTTTGCCTTTCTCCTTTTTCCTCCAGTTTACCTCATGGCAAGAAGGAATAGCCAGCACATGTGTTCTACCCCCTCTGTAAGCAGCAATAGGCCCAGCCTACAGGGTTGCACACGGCCAGAGCCAGCATGCAACCATCCCATGTGTGTAGCACCGGTATGTGGAGCCAATGCTTTCTCCTATGCATTCCCTGAAACGTAATCCATGCCTAGATGGAGATCATAGCTTCCAGATCCCACCATGTTTTGGCCTCTATGGATACACAGGCACCCAAGCCCAACTACGTTCCCTTCCCCCCACCCAGTACTGGTAACAAACGCCCACGTGCATACCAAAACCATGCATGTTAGCACTCATGCACATAGGAAACCATGCACTTGTAAACATACATTCCCACCATCTGATTAAGTCCCCTGCAGCTTATCCCAGCCCTGCAGAAATCATGTCCTGCAAGAAAGATGCTTCAGGTTCTATGGGCCAAGCCAGTGCAGTGTTGTGGGGGCAGGGGTGAAAAAGAAGTAAAAAAACCCCAGCTTTCTCCTCCACTTCCCCTATCTGCCTGCTCCAGGACTGACAGCGCATTAGGCCAAGTTCTGGCCCAGGATAGATGTGTTAAGTCTGTGGGAGGAGGCTATGTGTTGGGGAGAACACCTTGAAAGCAAAGGAGTTATCGTCCCCAAAACACTCTTTGAATATAGAGGTATACAAAAAATAAACGCATACTTAGATGCTTTTGCACATTCACACATCCAAAAAATGCCTGTGACACACATCTGCACGCATGGCCACTCACATTGTTTTGTGCCTGCTGACTCACACGCTCACTGAATAGTCCAGGCTCACATCTGTGCTTGCTCCGATCCACAAAGGACGAGGGTGGACGGGAACAGCTGCCCTCTCTCCCCATGGGATCCTACCAGTCTCCCACAGAGGAAAACCCACTAGCTGGCTGCAAAGATTCTCTCCAGCCAGCAGGACAGGTTTAGGAGATGCAGGAAAGTCTTTATGCTACTCCCAGAGTAGGTCCCCAGCTTCTCTTCTTCCCCTGCCCAGGCCTCCCTTTATGCGACTCAGGAGTTCTTGCCCCCAAGCATCACCCTGGGAGGAAGGGAAGAAGAGAAGAAAGGGACGGCAGAGACTGCCGAGAAATGGTACACCCCACCTGGAATCAAAGAAAACAAAAAAAAGAAAAGAACTAACAAAACACACGACTCTCCCTTTGTTGTAAAGTTCCAATTTCCTGTGCAAGTCCCAGTGGCCTCACCCAGGCCCTTCTGCTCTTCGGTAGGGGTTCTCCAACAAGTAGTGGAATCGTTGGTAGTTCTTCAGCAGGTATTTGGGAGCGTACATCTGCTCCTTGGGGTCAGCGGGTGGATACTCCTGCGTAGAACCATCAAACCAGCCACCAGTCCGGATCAGCTCTCGAATATAATTGAGGTCTCGTTTATCCTCATAGTCACCCCAGCGGGGGAAGTCCCCATTCTGGGCTGATACCAGCTTGAAGTAGATCCCCTCCGGTGTGAAACACCAGGAGCAGTGCCAGCCAGCAAAGTGGAGGGGGCTGCCCAGCGACCACTGCACCAGGATGTGTCCTGTGCTGTTCTCATACTGCCGGAAGCCAGGCATGGTGTAATACTCACGGCGCCGCAGACGGATCCCATCGGTGGCATACACAGCCTGTAGCATTCCCATGGTGCAGCCTGAAACCACCTCCAAGGTACCTGGTTGCTTCCAGAAGAAGCCGTAGAGTGACTTCCGCATGTGAAAGGCAAAAGGCTCTGTCCAGCCGTCATAGAGCTTGAGGAAGAGGACACCATCGCGGGCTGGGATCTCATCGGCATCATCGATGATGAAGACATCATCCGGGCGTAGGTTGCGGAGGCGAGAGACACCATCCCGGGTGAGAAAGGTGCGCAGGTAATCATCAGCAATCCAGCCGTCCTGGCGGCCACCGGGGGGAAAATGGTCCAGGAAGACGTAGAGCACCTTGTGGCGGATGTAGTCGAAGGAGCCATTGAGGAGCATCTCGCGGAACTTGAGGGGCCGTGGCTCACCATAGGCCGTGAAGTTCGACTCACATACCACAAAGGCGTCCACCACGTCTCCCAGCTCGTGGAAGCGGACATCCAGCAGGTCAAACTCATGATTGACATTGATAGCGTTGATGACCCGCCGGGGGATCTCACGTGGCACGAGGCGGTCCTTGGTGGGCAGGTTGGAGTACTGGACTACAGTGGGGACCCCACAGCTTGGGCCATGCCAGCCTGGCAAGCACACACACTCTACCCACTTGCGCCGCTTGGCCCCGCTGGCACTTAGCGGCTTGCGAGCGGGGCGCCCCGAGGCAGCGCCATCTGCTCGCTCCTCTGGCCGCCCTCCCACGGGTGGCTTCTCCAACACCTTGGTGCCTGGTTTAAAGCAAACGCCACCAGCTTTGGTACGGACAAAATATTCTGTTGTATCTTCTGGGAGCACAAACTCAACTCTGTGCAGCTCTTCGCTGGCTCTGCTGGGAGGTAGGGGCTGGAGCAAGGGGGAGTGGGAGTACAGGGGTGTGCGGAGGAACTCTGCACCCCCTGGCTCAGGGCTAACCTGAGGTGTGACAGGTGCATTGTTCCAAAAGAAGCTGGAGACGAGGTTGGGACTAAGTGAAGCTAGCTCCCGGGGGAAGGTGACATAGGAAAGGGCCTTGAGGAAGTGCAAGAAGGAGATGAGGCAGAGACCAGCCATGCAGAGAGTCAGAAAGAGCTTATGGCGTCTCATCTTCATCCTGTGGAAAAGCCATGAAAAGAAAAGTCATATTCAGCAGCTACTGGTGTGCAAAAAATTACCACTAGTAGAAAGACAGATTGGGAACGCCACAAACCTAGTCCAAATTCAGGATGCATCCTTTGAGACTTGAGTCCAAAACAACTTCCCCCACCCTCTGCCATCTTCAACAGGCCTTTTGTCTTGGCTAGGTTACACCGAGTTGAACCTCTTCTAGATCAGACAGAGTCTTTTAACCTCACAAAGAGAAGAAAGGTACTGGCGAGAAGGTAGAAGGAAGGGAAATGCAGAAAAACAGGGATTCACAATCTAGTGAAGTCACCGCAGTTGGCAGATTTGTCCCTATTCATTCGTGGAAACAATAAATGCAGGCCTCCTCGGGTCTTGTACCACCACAGGTGTGGGGGAAGATGAAGAGAGAGCAGAGAGCAAGAGGGAGGAGAGGGAGTAGGGGTTCACAGTTGAAACAACTGAAAACATCACCAATGTATGAGAAGACTCAGATTTTAAAGGATGGGGATCATTAGCCAGTCTCCCAGAACCTAGCAAGTACCTACACTCTGCAGATCTTTTCAGGGTTTACTCACAACACACACCCTAAAAAACCCTTGCTCCCAGGAAAAGCTACCTGATTCTGTATGGGGAACAGAAAAAAAAAATTAAGTTTCTCTTTTACTCTCCTCCCCTCCTTTTGAGGTTCTCTATGCCTCCATATTTTCCACTTTGCTTTTTATTTTCTGTGAACCAGATGCTGAGCATTTTGCATCTGGACCAAGGTGGCTTAAATATACATCTAGCTGTCTCTGCTGGTAATACTGTACTATGGTGACAGATCCATGCCAGGCCAGCAAGAACTCAGCCCTTTTCTCCAAAGAGTAAGAAATACAGCCTCCATTCCCTCTCTCTACCACCTCCCCTCCTCCAGTCCATGCTGGTAGTGCAGCGCTGCTGTCAGACAGAAAAGTGATTGAAGACTACAACCTAGAAAAAAAATGAAAAGAAGGAAAGAAAGAAAGAAAAAGACAGAAGCTCTAACCTCAATCAATGCTTTACCAAGGGAAATAAGAAAGGGCATTTTACTGTTTAGGGAAGGAGGGACTCCCTCCGCCAAAACCAGAAGGTTTAGGAGAAGGTGAATGGTGGAACACGGTCAGGCAAATACCCTTTGCAACATGGAGGCTATACGCTCCCCCCCGGCAGCACAAAACCCTCTGTGCAAAGACATAGAGAGACCCCCTTCCACCTCTGCAAATCAAGCCTCAGCAAAGCCCCCCATAAGGAAGGAAGCATGCCCAAAACGCACCAGCTGGACCTCTCTGCCATGCAGGCTGCCAAGGTGGGGTGGCTCATCAGGGCTCCGCGGCTGCGGGTGCCACTTCTGCGTGCAGGATCCGGCTCCTCCTCCCCCTCTAAGGACCAAAGTTCTTGTACGGGAATGACGCATCCCGCGCAGTCGTTAATAAAAACCTCTGTCGAACACAGACGTCTGGGTTAGGTGACACCTTCACGGGAGGCAGACTCACGTAAGGGACCATACTGCCCAGTGAGACACAGATGAGTGCAGACCACGCTGCATTGGGGCGGAATGCAAAGCCCTTCACTTAGGCTCTCCCTTTTCCCCCAGCCCAGCTCTCCTCAGGGCTGACACGTGTCCCAGGGGTGGGAGCGGAGGGAAGAAACCTCCAGTCTTCTCTTGCCACTTCTGAGGGCAGTAAGTGAAATATAACAAAGCACGTTTACTTATTAACTTGGAGAGACTTCAATACTACAGTGAAAAGCCATAAAGTGCTTAGAAATAAGGCAACCGAGCAAAGAAAAACACACGTGGATCTTCATAGAGGGCTCTGATAGACTGGCCATCTCCATCTATACCTTATAACTCAGCATCAGACATTTCTGGACACTTTGTGGTCCCCTTTCAGCAATCTCGCTGTTCGCTCACACTGTCCCCCCGTGCCAATGGCCTCTGGAGAACTTCCAAGGCTTCCTTCCCTCAAATCCCATTTCCAGCCCTATGTTTTCCATCTCCCTGAACCAAACCTGCTGCATGGCAGTCACAAGGCACCGCTTGTCCCATCTCCTGCCCCAAAGCACCCAGCCATCCGTTCCTCTGCCGCCCGCGTGCTGGGCGATGCAGCTCGTGGGGACGCGGCTCTGCGGTGGCCCTGACAAAACCCTGCGGCTGACAGGGACGAGCACCGCCTGGTGAAATGGTGCGGTTAGGGGGAGACTTCAGCCTTTAGCAACAAGGTTATTTTGTTCCAAAGGGGAGGAGAGCAGCCTGAAGCTGGCAGAAAAGTTAACAGCGTTGCCATGGAAGAAAAAGGAGGCAGCAACCCCATTTGCTAACGTTTATTGTGGGTCTTGATATCTTCGGTGCATCGGGAACCCCTCAGACCTTTGAGACGTTGCATTTACAACATGGAAACCAGCCAAATGGGATCGGCAGCACCAGCGGCGTTTCACAGGCACTGGCAGGCACCTGGCGAGCGCGCCGCTGCAGCGGGATAGCAGATGAGCCTGGCAG